CTTGAGATTTGAGAGAGACAGTGCCTGTTACAGCATTGGCTTGGGTTGCTGTGAGGTTCATCCAAACCATAAATTACTGTAAAATTAAAGAGAAATGGTAAAAACAAACAAACAAAAAAACCCCCACTTCTATGTTAGGCAGACACTGACTTTCATGTTGGAGGGCACAAGACACCACCAAGCAGCTGTCTTTTCTCCTGGGAGAATGGGTGTTGTCCAATCTAAATGGCTGAGGAGGGAAGTTTTGAAAAAACCTCTCAAGACAGTAACTTCAGAAATGACACACTACCCCGGAATGGAGTGCAGCTTCCTGGGCTTTAGTATTACACTGACCTGAAACTTCAAAATCATAAGCCACTGATTGGGGTTTACTGAAACAGTATACGCGCGGGCGCGTGCACGCGCACACACAGGTTAGTATAAACAGAAAAGTTAGGACCTTGTAAAATGCCCAAGTATTTCAACATCTTATTCCTCAGTTGGCCTAAAAACAGTTATCTGCATATCTGTATGTAGAAGACAAGCTTAGTGTTCCCTCTTTAAGGGCACCAAAGCTCAGACCCATGAGGTTGACAGTGGCTCTATGACCCCTCTCCCGGTTCCCAGTCTGATCTTTGTATGGAAACTGCAGTTAAGGTAGAGACACCACTGCGTGGTGAAGCTCTGCTGTGGAATGCCAGAGGTTGATTCCAGAGAGAATGCAGCTTCTAGAAATTTTATTTGGAAAGAAACCAAAGCCCCAAAGCAAAGGAAACGTTTTTGAGTTGGTCTGCACACCACAGCTGAGTGGAATCCAGGTGAGAAATGTGGATAGATGACCTTCTAACCACGGCACACCATTTTAAACACAGACTGAGTTTGCAAATCATTTAGTGCCTTTGAGAAACTTAACAGCTCATCCTCGAATCTACTTAGTTTATTTGACTCTAATTTTGGTAAAAGAGTTCTGGTTAGAGAAAATGAAATGTATCTAAAATCAATTTCCAGGCTATTTGCCATTTATCTGTCTTGCCAAGGTGTTCCTTTGAGTTCCTCCTGAGGAGACGTTTATTACTGCAAACGTCAGCCAGGGCAGGCTGACTGAAGAGCTGATTCTCCAGGGGTGGGACATTTGCTCACAGGTCCTCAGGGAAGAAGCCTGCAAGGAACGGATCCATCTAGGGATCCCTGTGCTGGCTGCTAGTTTGCTTTGGATACTTCCTTCCAGGCTTTTTCAAAGTGGACCTCTAACCGTGAGGTTGTAGGGCACCTGCTGGCTATTTCCGGCTCTCCATACTTGAATGGACTGAGAGAACTGGGCCCGCTTGGAGAAAAGGGAGTGGTAAGAGGTACGGAGAAGTGATGGTGTTTTGGTTTTTTCTTCCTGAACTTTGATTACGTAAGTCAAAAAAGCATTGCCTTTTTGCTCAAGCTGGTTCGATTTAGGTTCTATCATTTGCAACCTGAATCTTCAGCTATTTTAAAAAACTTGTGTACTAGTATATACCCCACTTCCCCTCAAACAAGTCAAGTATTTCCCATGAACAAACATGCTAAAAGAATTGTTTTGAAAAATAAAAAATTATTTTGTAAATCAAATATTTACTTTCAAATTTGTCTTTTATGCAAATTCAAATTTTTAGATACTAGGTTTTCTTATAATATTTGTGTTATCATATACAATGAAAGGGAATAACAGTTGAAATACAGTGTAGGCGAAGTTCTAGTGTTCAGATTCAGTTTGAACAAATAGAAAAGTGTGTTAGTCACACAGAGAGAATTAAATATTTTATTTTAGATGATAAAAATGTTATACCCACTCTAATATATCATAAAGGATAACTGAATATTTGCATAAGTAATGAAAGGGTTAAGAAATTATTTGGGTTATAATCAGAGGAACATAATAAGCGTAAATCTGTAGAAGGGCATTTTCCAAATAAATTCCAATAAAAGGCTAAACATTCTCAAACATTTTATATACATAAAGAATTATTTCTGATTAACATGTTTTTGCTGTAGTGTCAGAAAAATCACAACAAATTTGGTAAATGTATGTTAAAGTCAGAGTTTTCTATGAGTTCTCTAGTACCACTGTATATCTGTTCAGAAATGAGGCCAGAATTCTCAGAACATAGCACATTAGGGTAGGGGAAGAGAAACACTAGGGTGAGGGAAGAGGAATGCCTGCTGATGCTGACACGGTTAACTAACAAGCGGCGAGGCTGGAGGTGACCAGAACGAAGTGGGACCATGTCACTGAGTGGGGCTGCGAAGGGAAAAGCAGAGCTGAGCCCAAGACAGTCCAGTCAGGATCACGTTCACAGTGGTTCAGGGTTTTGGTTTTTAACGTGTTCACAGACAAATCCCAGCAAGACGCGTGGTTTTCGTCATCAAGCCTTTCTTCTTGAATTTGTGACTTCTCAAATGAGGCACTTGGCATACTTAAGGGGAAAAATGAATACATTCAGATTTAGTTTTGTCAGGTATTAAGCTAGAAAACCAAAAATTCATGTCTCCTGTAAGAACTGCACACACAAACAGGTTTTGCTTATTAATGGGGCAGGTAAGAGGAAGTGGAGTTCAGCTCTTTCAAAAAGATAAAGGGGGAGGAGACAGTAGGAATGCAGAGGAGCCCTTAGGAATGGAGCAATTAGTACAAGGAAACAGTTTTCATCTGTGAGCTTCTGCTTCAGGCATCTGTACCTTAGGCACCTGTGCTTGAGAGGTATGCTTCAGGAGCTACCTGTGGTTAATTTCCCGAGGGCTAGACACAGATTTTCTGAAGCCTTGCCAGGCATCTGCCGCCTTCTGAGTGCGAATGCTTCATTTCCTAAAGTGATCTGAAGCCTGCTAAGCCAAGCGGGCTTAGGAAGTTGTCACACGGTGTCCCATCACAGCATGCTTATACTGTTCACAATATCTGGGCCAGCAGTGGGAAAGGGACACTTGTATTTTTGGCCCATATGCTTTTCAAGTAGAATACACTTGACTAAATAAAGAGAACATCATTCCGAACCCTCCGAACTTCCACATCAGCACGCAATCCCTCCATCAAAAGGAGAGCTCCTTGTTCCCAAGGCGGAGGGGTAAAAGAGGCTGCTCTGTACTGCAAAGGACTGACTCTACAGCAAAATCAACGGCCCAAATAAGTGACGGGCTGATGCAGCCCACTATCAGCAGTAGGAATGTCATTTGGACCAGCGGTCGCCAACCGGTGGTCCGCAGATCACTGGTGGTCCACGAGGTCCGAGAGGTTGGCGACCGCTGACTTGGACTACTTTTGGCAGGTGAAAGAAAGTCACCCCACTGAATGTTACCTTAAAAATCTTTTGTCAGAATATAAGGCCACTTCACTGTTTTCAACCTGTACAAGTTGATGTCTGCTTTGAAACATAATCACATAGAACACTTTCTCCCTTGGGAGCTCTTTATTTTGGAGGAGAGTCTGTACTCCAAGCCTTTTCTCTGAGCTCTACCAACCAAAGTTATTAAGTAGCTGCAACTGTGGTCTTAATGGGATGTCATTTCCTCGAGTCTTCACTACTTAAGGCAATGGTTACATGTGCAGCATGTTCTGGGGATCCTTCTCTGAAAGAAGAATATATTGATAAAATATTTTATGAAGCAGTTAAGTCATTTTAAATCTAGTTGAAAATATTAAGTTGTTATTCACTTAATGCAAAAGTACTCGACTGAATTTCAGACTTATTTGGAATTCAGAATCTTTGTGCTACACAAATGTTTTTTTAAAAAAAGGCAACGGCTTACACTTTCCAAAGTTTAGAAATGACATCCACAGGACAACAGGTGACTTTTTTTTTTTTTTACCAGTGTGGTTGGAACAGTGATAGTGGGTATTCATTCTACCAGTCTGATCAGGTGGTCTCAACGTGGTCTCTCCACTGTACCAGATCACGTACATGTCTGCCTGTGGAGGACAGCAAAGATCCTACCAATGTCATCTGGTCTAAAATGCTCATTTTCTCCTACCTGCCAGTCATTCCAATAAGATGCTTTTGAGATGGTGCTTTCTCAAAATACCCTTTTATCTAGGAATTTATCTGTCTTAAATATAGAGGTAAGGTAGATATGAGAATATCTTTAATAACCAAAGAAATCAACCTAAACTCAGATGATACCCGGCATGAGTTTTCTAATTTTGAAAGCCTACGATCTGAGCTTGTAATGGGCCATTTCTAAAAGTGCATACACTCTCTAAATATCCAGATGATGCCACAAACTGCCTCCCTTGTATAAAAGGCAGAAGACGAGGAGGAAGCAGACCCCATCCCACAAACTGAAGTAGACGTCCACGCTGAGAATCAGAAAGTTTTCCAGGCAGGCACAAGTGGAGTATGACCACAGCTCTCCAATCAGGAGGGAGGGGAAGAAGGGCCCAGTGAGAGAGAGGGAGGGAGAGAAACCCACAAGTACAAGAGTCCCCATTACAATTACAACACCGCACCAGGCAACAAGATTTTCTAGCCAGAAGGCACATAAAAATACCCATAACAGTAACTGACTAAGACAATGGCAATTGAAAGAAAAAACCCTCCTTTGGAAGTAAAGTACAGCTGTTTCATTAGGGACGCTGATGCTAAGGACGGGACAGGTGAAGTGGATATGGTGCTCTTGGTTTACTTTCTGTGATTCTTCAGCGCTCAGTAAAGCCACTGTGCCTTTTAAACGGAGACCCCAAGTCCTCTGTGTGACAAAAGATTACAAAGGTAGTTACACAAATATTTACTGTTGCTGTGTCCCACAGGTTAGGCCGAGTTCACCAATCCAGCTGAGTGGAGTCTTCCGTGTTTTGTCCACCGCCACTCAGCATTATAAAGTCAACCAAACAGAAATGAGAAAAGGAGCAATTGTGAAATTCCTGACTTCTTTGCGTTGGTTATAGGTCCATAATTTGCATAAAATAAATAATAGGCTTTAAGTAAAAATCGGTGTTAAAAGTTGAAACGAGGGGTAGGGGAGCACAACAATCTGGTATTTTCAAGGCAAAACAATAGAGATCTCTTTAAATATACACTTTATTATATCCACAGGCGATAAAATCCCAGAGCTACTGTTAGGCATGTAAAAACAGACCCTGTAAGAAAAAATAATTAAGCACAGTATTAGTTATATTAATAGTTACTTGAGAGAACATCTCTTTATTAAGAAAACATATCCACCTATCTAACAAGGGGGAAAACACACACTAAGAAACTTCTTCACTGATGTGCCACATTCCACGAGACACCTGCCCATAAAAAACCCCACACCTTGAAATCATCATCTTCCAAGGACAAATGTATCCAATAATCAAGAGAACTTTCAATAAGAGTTTAGAATCACAAAGTCTGTGGTCACAAAGCACATGTATATGTACTGGAAGGGACACAGCTTTCGTTTTATGAGCAATTTTGCCGCCGCTGCCTGTTGCTTAGCAGCCGGCTAGTTTTTTTTTAAACTATAGTCCGGCCCTCCAACGGTCTGAGGGACAGTGAACTGGCCCCCTGTTTAAAAAGTTTGAGGACCCCTGGTTTAGAATCACAAAGTCTGTGGTCACAAAGCACATGTATATGTACTGGAAGGGACACAGCTTTCGTTTTATGAGCAAAATGTCACTTCTTAATACTACTGTACCTTTAAAATATTGATGAACCCAACATACTAAATTTGAGTTAAAATAATGGCTAATTTTTTTGTATATGAAGCTTTATTCCCTGTTTTGGCTCAAAAATTGCAAATAACTCATTATGAGGAAGGTCACCAATAGAAGCAGAAAGATCACAACTTAAAAACTTTTCGTTCTATCCGTCCAATATTCCGTCTTGAATTCCACTTAAAATTTTTTAAATAACTGTAATTCAATGATAGTATCTTATCAGATTTAAGATTCCATTGACTGTAAAGTACATCATTTTATTTACTTCTAAGAAAAAATTGCCAATATGATACTGTCTATTGGAAATGTAAGAAGCTTGCCAAATTCAAAGATTAAAATATGAAAAAATATGTGTTAGAATCAATGAAATGCAATATCTATCCAAGTTATTTTATAAAATTTATTTATTTTATTACCAGCTTGTTTCAATTACCTAGATATAAAACAGCTTACCTGCTAAATATTTAATATTATCAAGCTTGTGCGACTCGAGCATGGTTTTGAGGCCAGCAACCTCAGTGTCTATCTTCCTGTCTGTCTGGGTGACGGCCCGATCTTGCTGGGCATGCTTTTAAAACAAAGAGATTCGCAGCATTACACCACTTGGGATATACTGTCCCCTCTGCTGTCAGTCCTGAGATCCTGCCCACCAAGGTGCAGTCAAGGGGAACTGGGGTAAGATTAACGAGACTTAGGCTTTAGTCTTAGTTCTACTATCCTCATGCTATGTTGCGTTGGTCAGGGCCTTTAATATACTTAGCCCTGTTTCTTTCTGTTTGAAAAAAGGAAAAAAAAAATACCATTAGTCCTGCCTCCACACAGGCTATTTAGAGAATCCAGTGTGATAATCTACGTAAAATTGCTCTGCAAGTAATGTTAACATTATGAAGCCAGTCTGTTCTTAATGGCAATAAATATGTTTCACCCTTCTAAGTTCGCCTTAATGAAAAGCATACAAAAATGCTTTAAAAAATGAAAAGAAACTTGGATAATTTAAAAGGAACAGTGCTTGCCTTGACACTGTTTCTATTCACATTTTTTAAAGTTTTCTTCTTTTATAGTTCAAACACCAAGTGTTTTATTATTATCATGAGGCTTGGCTATACCAAAGGCCTATTTGTGTTTTTCTCAAATATAACAGTCAAACTAGATACATAATTACCCCCAAAGGATGGTGAGTTTGGCTGATGTTATAAAGGGGTTGTCATACTTCACTAATGCATCAAAGCACTAGAAATGCTTCACTAAAAATTCTAGGGCAGGTAAGTAGTTCCCTATGGCTAACAATTCAGGTAACAAATAAAAAAACAAGAGCCTGGATGAACAGAAAAGTATTCCAGAGGAATATTCCAATATTCTCTCATGAAAATCTCCTGTGAGTTTCAGAGGTTCCAAGTAATAGAGAATGGAAAAGAAGTAAATGCATGCCATAAATTAAAAATATAATTTAAAAAGTCCATTTCTTATTATTCTTAAATCACTGAGGTTTAAACTTTTATTATGATAATCAAGTAGTTGGTTAAGTGCAAAAAAATCCTATGATACTCCACTTCCAGCTATATGCTAAAAAATAAATAAAAATTGAAAACAGGGACCCCAACAGATATTTGTATCCCCATTATCATAGCGGCATTATTCACAACAGCCACCAGATGAAGCAACCCAACTGTCCAGAGACAGAATAATCAAATGTGGTGTATCCATCTAATTATTGTTCAACTATATAAAGGACATTTTGACACATGCTACAATATGGATGAAGCTAGAGGACACTATGCTAAATAAAAATAAGCCAGTCACAAAAGGACAAATACTGTATAATCCCACTTATATGAGGTAAATAGACAGAAAATAGATAGAGGTAGTCAGGGGCTGGGGGGTGGGGGGGGGCGGGCAGTTATTGTTTAATGGGAGAATTTCAGTTTTTCAACATGAAAAGAGTTCTGTATATGGATGGTCGTAATGGTTGCATAATAATGTGAATGAACTTAATGGTATACACTTAAAAATGATTAAAATGGTACTGTTTATGTGTATTTTACAACAATTTAAAAAATTCTATGACATTAAACCTGCACATATTTTCCTATAACACATCACTACAAATAGCAGTAACAACGCACAGAATGAAGCAGAGATGAATAAAATGACCAAGAAAAATCGGTCTCAATTCTTACCAATGCCACCATTTCTGTCTTCATTTCCAGCAGCTTCCTTTCGTTTAATGAATACTGAAACAAACATGTCACATAGGTCAGATTCTGATTCCTTTCTCTCTCCTCTCCTCCTCCACTAGTATCTCAAATATTCTGGTCTCACTACTTCCAAGAATATGTAACACTAGAAACTGCCTCCAGGATAAAGGAGCCTACGTGACCCTTTCCTTCAGGTCTATATTTTTTGAGGTTTCTTATTTATATTCACTCCTCACTCCAGTACCTGGACTCCCTTTTGTCAGCCTTCACCTTTCTCTCTCTGTTTTTTTCTTTTCATTTCTTAGCTGTGATGTCTCTAGGTCCCTCCCACTCTCATACCGGCACTCTAGGGACCAATTTAGATGGATGCAGAGTCATACGTGTTTTGGCTTTGACAAGAGAGAGTTGAAAAAGTGGGGAATAATTCCAATAAAAATTGCCCCTGGGACTACAACAGCATTACTTGTAAATTAAAAAAGAAGAAGAAGAAGAAGGAGGAAAAAGGAAGAAGGAAGAAGATGAAGAGGAAAAAGCCCCAAACCCCAAACTAAGGATTAGTCATAGTACCAACGAATGCTCATCTCTGTCTTTAAATGCCAGGGCTTCAGACCAGGAGAGAGCTATGCATCTGATCCCCACCAGAAGGCAGGGGGAACTGGGTTTTCTTCACACTTTTAAATTCTGGCCTTCAGTAAGTCAATATTGATTCAGCCACAAGAGAAAAGAAAAGCTTACATATCTTGATATTGCCATGATTTTTAAAATAATTCTCATCTTCTTGTATCCCAAAACAGTTTACTTGCCACATAGTACGTTTGAAACTGGCTGTAAATATCACCCCAGTTAACGTAATTGGCACAATATTACAACTTTATTAAGCAAGGGAATGAGCGGGTCAAATAACCCATCTTCATCACAGCATGTTAATGCATACTAGCTGCATAATATTATGTTACTGTCCTGCACTTCAGAGTAATCTAAGTTTAGGATTGCCAAAAACAACTTCTCAGCTAGATCAGTAAATCATATAAACTCACAGGCTTTAATCCAGGCTCACATCCCATATTTCCCAATCTTCTAGGTATATTTCTTCCCAGCTTGGTTAACAACAGGCATCTTCTTAAATCAAGTGAATTCAGCCCTGGCCGGGTAGATCAGTTGGTTAGAGCACTGTCCCATATGCCAAGGTTGCGTGTTTGATCCCCAGTCAGGGCATTTACAAGAATCAATCAATGTATGCATAAATAAGTGGAACAACAGATCTATGTCTCTCCCCCCTCCACCCTTTCTCTCTAAAATAAACAAATAAACAAAATTTTTAACAAAGTGAATTCAGAAAATTTGTTAAGTACACAAACCATAAGGACAAAGGTAACCAAGAGTCTCTCCTCTTCCAGATATAGTCATATGCTAGTGATCACTAAGTATTTTAGTGATACTAAGTGATTTAATCTTCACGGTTGAAAAACGTTTTAAGACTAGAAAGACAGGTAACATGAACAGAATAATTATTTGGTATAATAAAGTTTAGCTTAACTACTGAATCCATATCCAGTTCCAAAATATAGTGAAATACTTGTTTGCGTTTCAATGTTAGTTTCATTTTTCAGCATAGCATGTTTTAGTTGAAAGCAAATTGTGAAAAATGAGAATACAATGAACAAATTTTGAGAACTCAGTTTCTGCATGTGTATCCAATTCTATGTTAGTGAGAAGTGCTTTATATGCCCTTACTCATTATGCTAAGAATAAAAAAGATATCTCCTGAATGTTATTAAATCCAAATAAAGACTGAATAAGAAGATAGATGGGTTAAAAATCAGAGGCAAGCCAACACATAAAGATTAAAATATACAATTTATTGCCCCCATGTTCATAGAAGCATTTACAATACCAAGGTATGGAAGCAACCTAAGAGCCCATTGATGGGTGAATGGATAAAGAAAATTTGAGGTATATAGTATATATCTCAAATGAAATATTATTCTGTCATAAAAAAGAAGAACATATTGCCATTGCAACAACATGGATGAACCTTGGGAGCATTATGCTAAGTGAACTAAGTCAGACAGAGAGACAAATACTGTATAATCTCACTTACATGTGGAATCTGAAAAAAAAATCTCTCAGGAGCTCACAGATACTGAGAACAGATTAATGGTGGCCAGAGGCAAGGGATGGAGGGTGAGCAAAATGGGTGAAGTGAGTCAAAAGGTACAAATTTGCAGTTAAAAAATGAATCCTGGGGATGTAATGTACCACATAGCAACTGGAGTTAATAATACTGTACTGTATATTAGAAAGTTGCTATGAAAGTAAATCTGAAAAGTTCTTATAAGAAAAAATTTCTTTACGTAATATGGTGATGGGTATTAACTAGACTTACTGTGTTGATCATTTTGCAATATATACAAATATCAAATCATTATGTTGTACACCTGAAACTAATATATGTCAATTACACCTCAGTTAAAAAAAAGATTACTGCAAAAGCTCTGAGGGAAAAAAATATCGTCTTTATATGCATTATCTTTGAAAAAGCAAGGGCAACAGAGCTGTATTTCCAGTTTTCTTAGTTTATCTTTTTGGTAACAAATGTGCAGCACTAACTTTCCTAATTAAAAGTTTCAATTTAACATAACTTACTCATTTAGAATTTGCATTTCAAAATAATAAAGTCATTGCGATTTCTCTATTAAAGAAAAAGACAAGAAGGAAATATTTTTTAAATCTTGAATTATGGTATAAAATTTAATATTATTTACTATCAAGTCAGGATTGAGTTTAATTTCTTTATTAATATCTAAGTGATAATTTAGTATCTTTGAAACAAAAAAGGATTCAAACTTATTTGACCAATATTTTAATTTTAAAGTTTTTGTTGTTGTTTTATTTTTTAGAGGAAGAGAGCACACGAGAGAGAGAGGTGGGGGGGAGAGAGAGAGAGAGAAACATTGATTGGTTGCCTCTCATACGCTCCCTGACCAGGGATCAAACCTGCAACCTGGGTATGTGCCCTGACCAGGAGTCAAATCACTATCTCTTCTGTGTATGGGACGATGCTCCAACCAACTGAGTGAGTCACACCGGCCAGGGCAACATTTTAATTTTAATGTTACTTATGAAAGCATCAAATTTAAGCCCTAATCCAAAATATAATTAAAATAAAGAAAAAACTGTGTCTTAATAATGACATGTAGGTAAATATTTAATAGTACTTGTGAACTGTGTATAAACTTAGACTTGACCAAGCATTCCATCCTGCAAAAAATTTAATTCATATTCTACTTTTAATAAGGGAACATACCAATTCTTTTACTCTGCTCTTTTCTAGATTGAAGTCTAATTTGGAGTCTGTGCGGACCTTGACCACTTCATCCTAGTAGGAGGGCAAACAACAAAGAAAGAAAGAAATCCAAAGTAAGAAATTAAAACCCACCGAGTGTGTGAAGCCTGTGGAAGCTGCCTCCACTCTTCTAGGTAAAGGGTCAGCCCAGGGGCTCACAGAGCTGGGGACCAGTGATTGGGGAGACTCTGGCCAATCCACATCTGGAGTCAGCCCTGCTTTGGGACTTTCCAGTTATATGCAGAAATAATTCCCTTTTATGCTTAAATGACCCCAGCGTGGGTCACTGTTGCTTTTTATTTCAAACTTCCCAAGATAATAGCCTGTGGAATTTATGATTAAAGCTGTTTCTTGGACAACTTTGGAAAGCAGAGATGGATTCAAAGAAGTAAAATATTACATTCTTATTTAAATACAGCCTTCTTTCTGACACTCATCAAAATCTTTTCTTCTTTCACATCAATGTCCTTGCCATTTAAAAAAATCAATCTGGAACAGTGCTAATCATTTTAAAATCACATGTAATTCTCTAAAGACATGTGAGAACCCTTCAAAGAGAATATAAGGGTTCCACTTGGCTACTTTAGAGAATTTCTTATTTAAAAATGACTTAATTCCTTCTAGAACACAATTTTCTTAATGAATTTGGTTACACACATCAGTAATTTACTCATTGGCTGTGTTTTTAGCTAAATCTTTCAATGTGTACTTTTGAGGCATATCACACAAACATTTAACATAGAATTAAGTTTTTAAGAACATATAAAGTATTTCTAACATTATATTTATTATTAAGCTTAGGTAATTATAAACAAGCAAGCAAACAGAAATGAGGATCTTACCATTATTTGTTGTTTTAACTGATGTAGTTCAAGTTTTATTTTCTAAAAACACATTAAAAAGAAACAAGTCAAAAATATGTTTAGAAGGTTAGAAGAAAAAGAAAACTTGGTAACAAACTAATATTAGAACATGTACTTATGCACAAGGTCTTCCCTCATTCAATGCGAAGTTGCTACATTCAGAATACAACCTTAGCTGAATAGTCTCCATAGGAGAAGTGATTACTTGTCATGCCAGGATGGTGCAATTTTTTTTTTAACTAAATGCCCTCAAACAGCTGACTTGAAGGATAATTCTGAGAGTTTCAGACTATCTTTTTCTTGCAAAAGAAAGCATCTTTGCTAGAAGGTTTCTTGCAAGACTAAGACTAACAAACAGGTAGTACATGAGCTTCCTTTATGGGATTCTGATAGGACTAACAACACAAGGAAGATGCAAAGACAGCATTTATTTAAACGCTGATCCCATGTCACACTTTAAGAAACTAAGGGCTATTTTATAGCTGCATTTATTCATAATAACCAAACACTGGAAACAATTCTAATATGCATCATAGAATAATGTGGCATATTCATATGATACCACAGACAATGAAAAAGAATGACCTATTGCTGCAAAACACACTGAAGATCTCATCACTTCTAGTTCTAGTATGGGCAAAACTAGTCAATGGTGACAGAATCCAAGACAGTGGCCACCTCTGGGGTGTGGTAGTATTCTACTCTGGTACTGCATACTTTGTGATGATTCATCAAGATGTATTCTTACTTGTGCACTTCCGTTTATGTACATTATATCTCAATGTCTGAATATGAAGCATTTTATAAGAATAAATGGCTGTTTAGTTTTACCTCATTTTCTGCTCTGAGGGCTGAAAATTCACTCTTCTCCAAAATAATCATATCTTTTTTCACGTTAGAAATCTGAGACATTATTTGCTGAAGAGTGATCTCCTAGGAAAAGGAAAGCAAAACAGATAACCTAGTATAGTCTAGGAAATCCACCTGCTATGGTCTCTACCTGGTATCATCTTAATGAGAAACTAGAAGAATGGGGACACAAGAAAAGAGGTTTCTCTCTTCCAAAATGAGAAAAGGAAAAGAATAAAAACTCAAGTCCAGTATCATCATCAAGTGGATGACAGTTAAAAGGGTGGCATTCTGAAGACCACTGGCTCAAAAACACACTGCTATAATTCTGGCCACACCTCCATTTATTAAAGTACTAGAGGCCCGGTGCATGAAATTCGTGCACTCATGGGGAGGTCCCTCAGGTTGACCTGTGCCCTTCTGCAGTCGAGGAGGCCTTGGGGGATGTCCGACTGACGGCTTAGGCCTGTTCCCTGCGTGAGCCTGGCTTCTGGCTAAGCAGAGCTCCCCCTGTGGGAGCACACTGACCACCAGGGGGCAGCTCCTGCATTGAGCATTTGCCCCCTGGTGCTCAGTGTGCGTCATAGCTACCGGTCATTCCGCCGTTGGGCCGAAACCGGCTCTCCAACATACCCCAAGGGGTCCTGGATTGCAAGAGGGCACAGGCCAGGCCGAGGGACCCCACCAGTGCATGACTGGGGCTGGGGAGGGATGCAGGAGTTTGGCCAGCCAGGGAGGGACCACAGGAGGGCTACAGGGCATGTCTGGCTGTCTCGCTGTCGATCGGCCGTACCCAAGCAGCAAGCTAACCTACCGGTCGGGGCGTCTACCCCCTGGTGGTCAGTGTATGTCATAGCGAGTGGTTGAGTGGCCTTAGAATATAATTAGCATATTATGCTTTGATTGGATGAACGGAAGACCGGACACTTAGCATATTAGGCTTTTATTATATAGGATGGTTGACTGAAACAGTTTTCAAGCAGAGAGACTTTTCAAGTATAGTGAATTTCTAGCATAATAATTTGATTCTACAAGAGTTTACTAAATAGCTTTGAGCAAATACTTTTTATGCCACTGCAATAATTAGCCCCTCAACTATGATAAAAATTAACTACATGCTTTTCAATAGGACATTATCCAAAAATATATATTACAAATTTGCAAAGGTGCCCTGACAAAGCTAACCTGTTGCATCTTGGTGACCATGTCTTTGTAGACGATATCCATGTTGGCCTCCGTGATCTTCACCAATGCAGATACAATGATTTCTGCTTGTTGAGTAGTAAACCCTAAGCAAACACACAAAGACAATCACACTCAGGAGACTCTAGTTGTCAAAGAAAAGCCTTCGTAGAAAGGGAGACAACACAAAGTTACACATGGAGCAAATGTCTGAATTTGAGAAGCAGGTGGAAAGCGGATGAGGAGACTACAGTCACAGGCTATTATGTGTCTGTCATCTGGACAAGTATGACACGTCTGAGTGTTTCCTCATGTGAAATGAGCAGTTGGGCTAACTGCTCTCTAACGTCCTTCTGCACTGTCAAAACCATGTTCTCAGAAGATGTCTAATAACATAGGGGATGCCTGTCATGCAAGGTCAAGTGAAAAAAAGCAAGACTCAATATTATAGATACAATTTATCACTTTTGTGATTTAACAAAGATTCTAGATAATTTTGATTTTCTTCAATGGATGTGACTTCCTTAATTTTAAAATGTATATATTTAGCAAAAATAATTTACTTACGTAGAAAAGCTCATTTGTTTTATATCTAGCATAAATCAAATTATTGACTACGGAAATTATAATTTTGCTGTTAATTTAATGTTCAAAGATAATGTTAAAATCAATTCTTTCGTTTTTTCCTCCACAATTCTCTTCAGTCACTAGTGATAGGGGACCACACTAGAAAAATATATATATACTTTTATACTCAAGAAATGATGCTAAATTGAGTTATATAAAGATTCAACTCAGCAGTATTACTGTTTTTAATAACTTTAGATAGTAATTTATATTTCACATTGGAAATGCTAATAAAATGTTTAAAATCAAGTCCCTGGAAAGTAATTTTTTCTATTAAATATGTCCATCTATAAGAATTTCAGAAGAATCTATTGATTCTTTTTTTTTTTTAATCCTCACCCAAGGATATTTTTCCATTGATTTTTAGATAGAGTGCAAGAGAGAGAAAAAGGCAGAAATATCGATGTGAGAGAAATACATCGATTGGTTGCCACCTGCGTGCACCCGACTAGGGCCTGGACCGGGGAGGAGCCTGCAAACGAGGTATATGCCCTTGCCAGGAATCGAACCTGGGACCCTTTGGTCTGCAGGCTGACGCTCTATCCACTGAGCCAAATGGGCTAGGGCAGTGGTCGGCAAACTGCGGCTTGCGAGCCACATGCGGCTCTTTGGCCCCTTGAGTGTGGCTTTTCCTAAGCCTTAGGACAGTGATGGTGAACCTATGACACGCGTGTCAGAGGTGACACGCGAACTCATTTTTTTGGTTGATTTCTCTTTGTTAAATGGCATTTAAATATATAAAATAAATATAAAAAATATACATCTTGCCCTAGCTGGCTTGGCTCAGTGGATAGAGCATCAGCCTGTGGACTGAAGGGTCCCAGGTTCGATCCCGGCCAAGGGCACATGCCTGGGTTGCGGGCTCAATCCCCAGTAGGGGGTGTTCAGGAGGCAGTCGATCAATGATTCTCTCTCATCATTGATGTTTCTATCTCTCTCTCTCCTTCTCCCTTCCTCTCTGAAATCAACAAAGAAATATATTTAAAAATATATATATACATCTTTGTTTTACTATGGTTGCAAATATCAAAAAATTTCTATATGTGACACGGCACCAGAGTTAAGTTAGGGTTTTTCAAAATGCTGACACACCGAGCTCAAAAGGTTTGTCATCACTGCCTTAGGAGTACCCTAATTAAGTTAATAACAATGTACCTACCTACATAGTTTAAGTTTAAAAAATTTGGCTCTCAAAAGAAATTTCAATTGTTGTACTGTTGATATTTGGCTCTGTTGACTAATGAGTTTGCCGACCACTGGGCTAGGGCTCTACTGATTCTTATAATTAATTAATGGCACATTTGTTTGAATAAAGTTATAGCTGATATAATATGGATGAGATTAAGCATGAGACTATAATAAAAAAAACAAGGCACAGCCCAGCTTGTGTGTGCCTCAGTGGATGAGTGTTGACCTAGGAACCAAGAGGTCACAGTTTGATTCCGTCAGAGCACATGCCAGGGTTGAGTGCTCAATGCCCAGGAGGGGGTGTGCAGGAGGCAGCTGATCAATGATTGTCTCTCATCATTGATATTTCTATTTCTCTCTCCTCCTTCCTTCCTCTCTGAAATAAGTAAAAAATCTATTTTATGTATTTATCTTTAATCCAATTAAAAAATGGGCAAAGGACCTAAATTGACACTTCTCCAAAGAAGACATACATATGGTCAAGAGACACATGAAAAAAATGCTCAAAGTCACTGATCATCAGAGAGATGCAAATTAAAACAACAATGAGGTACCATCTCACACCTGTCAGAATGGCTACCATCAACAAATCAACAAATGAGAAGTGCTGGTGAGGATGTGGAGAAAAAGGAACCCTCGTGCACTGCTGGTGGGAATGCAGACTGGTGCAGCCACTGTGGAAAACAGTATGGAGTTTCCTCAAAAAATTAAAAGTGGAACTCCCATTTGACCCAGTGATTCCACTTCTAGGAATATATCCCAAGAAATCAGAAACACCAATCAGAAAGAATATATGCACCCCTATGTTCACAGGAGCACAATTTATAATAGCTAAGATTTAGAAACAGCCTAAGTACCCATCAGCAGATGAGTGGATTAAAAAACTATGGTACATTTATACCATGGAATACTATGCTGCTGTAAAAAAGAACTCTTACTATTTGCAACAGCATGAAGGGTCAGTATCATGCTAAGTGAAATAAGTCAGTCAGAAAAAGACAAGTATCACGTGATCGCACTCATATGTGGAATCTAAGTAACAAAATATACTGATGAACAGAGTGGATCCAGAGACATGGAAGCATGGAACAAAGTGTGGAATCTCAGAGGGAAGGTGGGGAGGGTGCATGGGTGGGTGGGAGGTAATCAACCAAAGACCTTGTATGCATATATGCATAACCCATGGCCACATTGACAATAGGGTGCTGAAGGCCTGGAGTGGGGTGTCGGGGGGTGGGTTGAAGGAGGTCAATGGGGGAAAGAGAGGGACATATGTAATACTTTCAACAATACAGATTTTTAAATATAATGTTGATGGGGAAAAAAATAAAAAGCAGACACACTTAAAATAAAATAAAAATATATTTAAAACAAGAGGGAAAAAAAGAACAAGGCACAGACTTAAAGGCGACAAAAAAAGACCTTCAAAGACTTACTCCCAGCCCTGGCTGGTGTGGCTCAGTTAGGGCATCACCCCATACACTAAAAGGTGGCAAGTTAGATTCCCAGTCAGGGCACATACCCAGGTTACTGGTTGGGGCATGTGCGTGTGGGAGGCAACCAATAGGTGTTTCTCTCTCTCCCTTCCTCTAAAATCAATAAAGTTCTAAAAAACAATTTAAGAAAAGAAGATCTACTCCCTTTATTTCATTCAAAATCCTTTAGTTTTCAACGTGTAGGTCATGCACATCTGGAAAAATAACCCAAAATGTTGACCCACCAAAGTGTTAACATTGGGATTCAGAATAGCTTTTCATGTTTCTTTTCTGTCTTCCTAATTTTTTGAAAATAAACATGTCTTTTGCAATTTTTAAAACTTTAAGAAAAGTTCATAGGTAAACATAATGAGATCTGGCAATTATGAAGAAAATAAAAATAGAGACTGGAAAAGACTTATGCTGATAATAAAAAGCAAATAAACTCCAAAGCCTTAAAATTTAACAAGCACCTGTGGAAGGTGAAAGGGAATAAGGAAAAGCAGAAGCCTGAAAACCTGCTGACTTACCAGATACAAATTACTTTTTGTAGGAATGAGAGAACAAGACACATCAGGGTTAGTGAGATTATAGACATAGCAAGTTTTGTTAATCAGGAGACATAACTGAAGAAAACAAGGGTAAAGGAGGGAATATTCCTTGAAGGGTTCTTCCTGGCCTTACCCTAACCCAGACAACTTACACATCCATCACTGATCTCAGCACGGTCATACCCTACACACACTTCAGTGGGGTCTTCACATCACTGTTCTTGAAATATGCAAATATTCATGGACCAAGGTTTGAACCCAAGAAAAGCAGAAAGTACATATACCAAAACATCATATTTTTAACATATGCAATTTCTGTCTAAATAAGCAAATCTGAAAGAGGGAAGGGGCAATAAACTCCACCTCTCGTTGGAAGGATTGGTGGCCATCTAGAGTCCACTGCAGCTACCTTGCATTGTTCCACTTAACAAAATTACCTGTGCTCCCTCAACGCCATCAAATACCTAGTGGATGTTGAAATGTCCCCATTGTCTCTAATATCTCCTTTTACAATTGGTTACTTTGAATACAAACACACAGTCCCCACCCCACCCTCCACCCCCCAAAAAAAAGAATAAGAAAAAAACTAGGAAGACTGCTGTTCATCAAGATAATTTAGATGGCCCTCTTCTCACTTCCACTTTTCTTTTTGGCCAATGAAAGAAGTGTTTGGTGAAAAAGGACTATTATTTCAAGTTTGAGAAGAAAATGGTTGCCAAAATTATTATATAGCATTTGACATTTTTTCCAGAGTACACTTAAGCACATTATTTCATTTAGTATTTAAAAGGCTCTTTGGGAAAAAATTAAAGAGAGAAAAAAAAGTAAAAGGTTCTTTGGAGCCCAGCTGGTGTGGCTCAGTGGTTGAGCACATGTACCAAGAGGTAACGGGTTCAGGGCACATGCCCGGGTTTCGGGCTTGATCCCTGGTAGGGGGCACGCAGGAAGCAACTGATTGATGTTTCTCTCTCATAGATGTTTCTATCTCTCTCTAAAATTACTAAAAACATATATATATTTTTAAAAGGTTCTTTGGAATTCTTATTATGCCCATGCCATCAATGAGGTAATGGAAACTGAGGATGATGAAAGGACTGCCTAGGCTAGAAACCAGCACAGCTTGAACCCAGAGCTTTTAATTGCCCCATAGGAACACAATTTATTCCATCACCTTGACCTGGACATATAGTACATCTACAGAGGGCAGCTTTTCAGATAGAATCATGCACAGCTGGGTAAATAACTATACAATGAAGTAAAAGCACACATATTTATTTACAAGGCATAATCTATGATATATGAGGTTCTGATTTTGAGAATATATGTGTCTCAGTATTGGTGTATTTGTCTTGATAAGATTAAATATAAGGATGTTATCTATATACTAGAGGCCCAGTGCACAAATTCGTGCACGGGGAAGAGGAGGTCCCCTCAGCCCAGCCTGCACCCTCTCCAAACCAGGACCCCTTGGGGGATGTCTGACTGCCGGTTTAGGCCCGATCCCAGGGATGGGGCCTAAACCAGCAGTCGAACATTCCTCTCACAATCCGGGACCGCTGGCTCCTAACTGCTCACCTGCCTGATCACCGCTAACTGCCCCCCTGCCAGCCTGATCACCCCTAACCGCCTCTGCCTGCTGGCCTGATCGTCCCTAACTGCCCCCCCTGCCGGCCTGGTTGCCCCCAACTGCCCCCCGTGCTGGCCTGGCCGCCCCACTGTTCAGTCATGTGGTCGTCCCTCACTAACCCCCCTGCCAGCCTGGTGGCCCCATGCAGCCTGCTTTTTGGTCGTTACTGTTATTATTACTGTGATGGCGTCCCGGACAATTTGCATATACCTCTATTATTATTATAGATTAAGTGCACTTTCAACAAAATTCAGAGCAATCTTTTACATTAATGAACACAAGAGCAGTGAGGGGAAATGTTAGTTTGAATATTTTTTATAAAGAACACAATGAGTTGATATCAATAACTACTGCTCAGCAACATTTTAATTTCATAAAAATTATAAAAGCACACAAGATGCAGTAATAAAACATCACTTCTGTGCTTCAGATAGTCATCATAAGAACCACCCCTGAGTTTTGCTGACTTGTGTCTAACTTTGTATCTTTAGTGCTGTATTTCTGGAGTGATGTTAAAAGAATATGCTTCACCTGGACAGACTGTGTGAGAAAATCTCTTACTGCACTGATGGAGCAAAAATGTCCTTCAACAGAAAATGAGGACTTAAGAAATGAAGACTGACCAAAAGATTACTTGTAGACTTAAAAGTCAAAGAGAAATAAGAGAAATTAGATGAAACCATAAGAGAAGTCATACTTTATTGTGTTCTTCTATGGCACTGAGTGACCAAAGAGAGAGGATTACCATTTTCTTCAAATAAACACACTAAGGCATGGGTGTCAAAGTAGAGCTTCCTACTCCCAGCGGAGGTGAAATCTCGGCGTTTGTGCTCCAACTGTAGGCACCCAGCAGAGAGGCTTAGCTCTAGAACAGAAAGGACAATAAAGTTCAAACAGACATAATGGTAAACAAAAGCAAATCAGCAACATGAAAAAATCAGTCATACCTCAAAAGCCTGTTTGTTTTTTCACGAGAGCTTTATTGAGCTATAATTCACATACTACTGTACAACTCACCCATTTCAAGTATATAATTTGATTGTTTTTATTATATACTAGAGACCCAGTGCACAAATTCGTGCATGGGTGGGGTCCCTCAGCCTGGCCGGTGATCAGGGCCATCTTGCTCAGTCCTGATCGGGGCCAGCCGGCTGTGGGGAGGGACTGTGGGAGGTTGGCCAGCTGAAGGAGGTTGGCTGTGGGAATGCACTGACCACCAGGGGGCAGCTCTTGCGTTTAGCATCTGCCCCTGGTGTCAGTGCGCGTCATAGTGACCAGTCAACCGGTTATTCGGTCATAACAGTCACTTAGGCTTTTATTTATATAGATACAGAGTTGTGCAAGCATCCCCACAATTAACTTTAAAACTCTGTCATCATCCCCCAGAGAAGCCCTATACCTAAACTCCCAACACCCCTACTCCCAGGCAAACACTGATTTACTTTCTGTCTCCATGGATTTGCCTACTCTGGATACTGCATATGAACAGAATCATAAGATATGTGGTATTCTGTACTGGTTTCTTTCACCTAGCATGGTGTTTCAAAGTTCATCCACCTTGTAGTACGTGTCAGTACCATATTTCTTTTTATTGTTAAATACTATTCCATTGTATAAATATACCAATTTTATTTAACCTATTCATTAATTGAATGTCACTTGAGTTGTTTCTTCTGGGCTATTATGAATGCTGCTGCTATGAACATTTGTATATAAGTTTTTGTGTAAACACATTTTCAGTTCTCTTGGGTACATACCTAGGAGTGGAGCTGCTACACCATACAGTAACTTTATGTTAAACCTTCTGAGGTTACGCCAGACTGTTTTCCAAAGTGGCTGCACCTTTTCACATTCCCAACAGCCATGTATGAGGGTTCCAATTTCTACACATCCTCAACACTTGGTATTAACTTTTTTATTATAGTCATCTTAGCGGGTGTAAAGTGGTATCTCATTGTAGTTTTGATTTGCATTTCCCTAATGGCTAACGATGTTGAGCATCTTTCAATGTGATTATTGGACATTTGTATATCTCCTTTGAAGAAATTTCTATTAAGACCCTTTGCCTATTAAAAAAATTGGATTATCTTTTTTATTGCTGAGTTGTAAGAGTTCTTTATATATTTTAGATACATGTTCCATATTATATATGATTTCATATATTCTCTCCCATTCTGTGAGTTGTCTTTCACTTTCTTTGTAGTGCTTCTTGAAGCACGAAAGTTTTTTATTTTAGTGAAGCCCAATTTATTTTTTTTCCCTTTTGTTCCTTGTGCTTTTGGTGTCATATCTAAGAAACTATTGGTTAATTCAAGTTCACAAAGATTTACATCTACGTTTCCTTCTAATTATTTTACAATTTTAGCTCTTACATTTAGGTCTTTGATCAATTTGAGTTAATATTTGTATACTAGAGGCCTGGTGCACAAAATTCGTGCACGGGGGAGGGGGGTGTGTGTGTCCCTCAGCCCAGCCTGCACCCTCTCCAATCTGGGACCCCTCTCACAATTCAGGACTGCTGGCTCCCAACCGCTCACCTGCCTGATTGCCCCTAACCGCTTCTGCCTGCCAGCCTAATCACCCCCTAACCACTCCCCTACCAGCCTGACCACCCCCTAACCACTCCCCTACCAGCCTGACCACCCCCTAACCACTCCCCTACCAGCCTGACCACCCTCTAGCCACTCTCCTGCCAGCCTGATCGATGCCTAACTGCTCCCCTGCCGGCCTGATTGCCCCCAATTGCCCTCCCCTGCAGGCCTGGTTGCCCCCAACTGCCCTCCCCTGCAGGCCATCTT